CGGGCCGCGAGGGGTCCGCGTTCAGGCCCGCAGCCCCCCCAACGCGCGCGGACCCGTGCGCTAGGTGCACATCTACCTCCTGCCAGCGCAAGCTAATCACCGCTAATTAACGGACGCCTCTGCACGCATGCCTCCAAACACCGCCCTGCGCGCACCGGCTAATCGAAACACTTTGGGGAACCTTTTGGGTGAATTAAAAAGGAAAAAAAAAAAAGAAAGAAAGATGCAAACGGGCCTGTGTTATTTCCTCTTCCTCCTCCTCGCCAGGCTGCTCGCATACATCACTGTCACTCAGCGCTCGGGCTGTGGCTGCTGAAAGATCGCGCCGGTGTGCAACAGCGTCTCTCAGCACCAGCACAGCCAGCGCTTGCGTATGATGCATGAGTATTTATGCCCTGTCCTCGTTTGTTTTTAAACCTGAGAACGCTTTGTATTTCAAGACCTCAGGGATATTCCTGCCCTGGAAACAAACGGCCTTTCTCTCATCTCAGATCTGCTTCTCTCCTCTGCAGCAGCAGCCTCCTCTCGGGTGACCCGGATTTGTGCTCTGGTGCTGGAGCCCTCCCAAAATGCAGCGAGACCGAGCCCGGCAGCCCCCCTGCAAACCTCCGCACCTCTCCTCCACGCTATGCCCTGCTGCTGGCTGGAGTTTTAACCTTTGCTGTCGTCTTGCTGAGGGATAAGCATACCTAATGCAGATTAAATGAAATTCCAGGGCACAAAAACTAGAGGGGTAAATATAAAACCATAGCCAAGGAGAGATGGTTATGTCATCACTGAGGAATCTAAAAGGCGCCTAAATGAAAATACCACAAAGAAAGAAAACAGCGAGGTTTGGGGCAGGGGGGAGAGCAGAGAGGGACGAGCGCAGGGCGAGGGTACGCGAACAAAGAGAGAAGCCTGTAATGCTCTGCCGCGGGTTTGCCTCATGCGACTCTTGTGAGCTCCAGTTTTCCAAAATCCAGGGTAAATTCTCATGCTCACACAGACGAGAATTGGCAGAAAAGGCTAAAAGATATCAAAGAATTAATTTTACAAGTTTCTCCTTTCTTCTCTTTTTTCATTTATAGCTGCCACCTGTGTTCTGATCTCACCTGGCGAAGATACCGAGCGGGATCGGAGGCCCCCGCGCAGGCAAACGTGCGGCGACAGCGACTGCCGGCCCTCCCACGAGGGCAGCGAGCTCGAGCCGCCCCCGGCCGTCCCCGCGAGCCACCCACGCGCGGTCCGGCAGCCGTAACGCCGCCCACTCGCAGCCGCTTGGGAGACAGGTGCTGTCCACCTACTTCCTCAATGGTTTTAAGTCTTATATTGCTGAGAAACCATTAACAAATCCCTCATGTACAATTTCCCCGAGTTTCAGTACACTGGCAGCAGTCGTCCTTTAGGACTACAGACCTCTCAGAGGACCCCGAAGGGACACGATACCCAGTATTTTGGCTGGAGGCACCTCTTCTGCCAGTGCAAAAACAACTATTGGGTAACTTCAGCAAAACGCATCGCTCTCATTGCCCGATTTGCCGGAAAACAGGCAAACCAGCAAGGCTTGGGGGTGTGCAGGTGCCTATGTCATTTTGTTTGTTTGTTTGCTTTACCTAATGAACTTAGCTGGAATTTAAAATATCCCCCCACCCACACCAAGTACACAGTAAGTTCACAGGAATTTGTGTTTCCAACTGGTTCAGGCGGCGCAGGAGTCTCAGAGCACCTACAGACACGTACCTGGAAAGCAGCAAACCACATAAGCCAGTCCAGGCGATAGTGGTAGGGGCTAATAAAGCACGGCCTCCTCTTCAAATCCCCGGGCTTGCATTTGAAGTCATACTCCTCCCAAACAGCAGCGGGATCATTGGGATCCATGCTGGACGTTCCCTGAATGACGACTTCTGTCCTCTCCTTAGTAACGCTGTGGAACACATCATTATATTGTTATTTTTCTCAAGTGGTGAAAAATGCTAGCTATTCAGAGTCAATAAGGCAACTACCTCGTTGGCCTAGTGATATTTTGATCCTGACAGGTAGCAACCTACAGAGGAGCTCTCTGTCCAGCACCCTCTTCTCCCCCCAGCCCCAAGGCACTTAGAAAACTCCGTCTCTCCCATCTTCCCAGGTTCCCCTCTATCGTAGCGCACTACTGCTATTCCCCAGGGAGGGAAGACCAAGGAAGATGCTTCCAATAGAAATCAGTGGGTATTAGAGGCCTGGTTGTCTTTCTAGATCAGAGCCTAACACTTTCCCAAGATACTGAGAGAATATGAGTGGCTCCCAACTCCCAGATGAGCATCTTCACCCTGGGCCAACTTGTCCTGACTTTCCAAAGAAAACCTTTTTCTCTGTTACTCTGATGTCAAATGACTCCCATGATGCAAGAGCTCTCTGAGGACACAGGCTCCTGATGGCATGAGAGAGTGGAGATGAAGGGTGATCACAAAACGTGCCAACGTGTCACCCAGGTTTTGCAAAAATAGCGGCTCGCGACTGGCACGTGTGGCTGCTCTAATGGCACAGCCAGTGAAGACATTTGCATGGGAAGCTTCATACGCCACTGTGCACATAAATTATGCCTCCGTGTTTCAAAGATCTAGCTCTGTGACCGCCAGCCACAGATCAGCAGAGCAGCTTCCAGCTGGGGCAAGTCCAGCATCCTCTTCGCTAGCCTGGCTCTCCCGGCCACACTGCTGGCCCTGGAGTGCTCAGTTCCTCCTCGACTCTTGGCTATGGCAAAGGGCAGGATGGGCTTGCAGTGAGTCCGAGGTAATTGGTTACATCTGCTCTGGCCTTGGGCAGCCTGTTGGCCTCATGTGCCCCCTCCTCCCAAAAAAAAACAGCTGACTCTGGGGGCACCGCTAACAGCTGCCTATATGCGCCCAAGCATTTCACTATCCCGGCTGGAAGACAGATCTCATTGAGCAATTACTCAGCAGGAGCAGGAGGCAGAGGTAACGTATGAGCCATTGCAAACCAAGCCAAGGAAAGCAGAGAAGGAAAACAAAAAAGGCCCACCATACCTAGTAGATGTGTGGAAACTGGGTTAAAAGGCACCCTAGCTCTATGGCAGGCCATGCATTTTCCCTTCGTTGTTTGATCTGCCAGTTTCTGCACAGCAAGGTGATAGAGCAGCAGAGACAGTAAACTCTCCAGGCCACAGAAAGCCCACGCGAGAACACGACCGTCAAGGTTTTCAGTGACCTGTCAGCGACACTCGTCTACACTAGAGAGCTGTTTTCTGTAACAAATGCCCAACAGCATAACTCTGCCTATCAAAATTGTCCAGGTCCCAACACGCTTTTAATTTTTCTACTATTTTGCTCCTTCCTCCTTCAACCCAAGAAAATGAAAGTTTGGAGCACAGAGCCTTCTCCTCCCCCAATGACTTCCAGTGATAGATGCTTACAATAAGGAATGCGGTATGTCTCAGCTTATAATTGTTACCTACATTTAATAGATTTCTGGATCCTCCAGCCAAGTTCCATATTATACGCTGGGCTGAGTTATGAGCTGTGGCTAGCTGCCCAATGGTTAGAAACACACTGTAAATCAGGGACAGCAAATTACTAATAAAAGTATGTTCCTACTGTGTGATTCAAAATATGTCAAGTTTCACATAATCGTATATTCATTATAAGCTGCAATCCTCTTTTTATTGGTTTACATAGGCTGGAATTACAAACATATTACAGCAGCATTTCATCACATGCTCTTTAGGTTCTGCTAACTGTTGAAATAGAAACCATAGACTGAAGAAGAAAAAGAAGAGCAACAACCCAAAGAAAATAATCTCCCGTAGCTTCACTACTCCAGCATTCAAAGAGGTTCAAGGGTTATTTTTCCCTCTCTGAAAAAAAGGAGGAACATCAATGTTTCACACAACTTTTTTAGTGCTGATACTTTTAATCATGTTTTCTCTAAGTTTCACTTTCACAGAAATGTCTGCTATTTGAAATACTGGGGAAAAGAGCAAATTACTTTGATGGCTCCAGGTGTGCTCTGTATCTCCAGCGCTCCCAGGGAGACTCGCTCCTCCCCTTCATCCAGCCACTCCGCCAGTGTTTGCAACAGCCAAGCTGATTCTCCTCTTAATATACCTATTTAATTACAGTTGGCTCCTCCCATGGGACTGTGTCCAGAGCCCACTAAATCACGAGGAGCCTAGCCCACCCCCCAGCTCCGACCTCTGGGGAACACCTCATGGTCACCACAGTGAGGTCGTGGGATGGGCAAAACCAGAAGTCTATATAGGGAAGACTAGCGCCGTTGTTAGCTGTGTAGCACTGTGTTCTGATGAAGCCCTCTCATTCCTTGATTTCAGCGAGGTTAAATCCCTCAGACCTGGCCATTTCCTCCATTCTGCGGTCTGGCTTTCCTGGGAGGTCTGCACACAAGCGGCAGGATGACCACACTCCCGCTCCCTGCAAGCCCAGGGTGATCCACGTTGACTTTCGACCAACTCAGTAACAGACTGACAGATGCCACTCAAAGAGCAACATACTGGGCAAGGACCTGAGGAGACTCATTTTGGTATCAGCTGGAACTGGAATTCAAGGGATGCCTCTATATCGCTGCTCTGCTCATTCTGCTGCAATTTCACCCCCCTGCCCTCCCCTTTGCCTGTTGCAGCTCTCAGCTTTTCAGGGCAGAGGCTGCCTAACCCTTTCAGTCGGCTCCTTGTGAGTGCAACACGGCCACGCTCCCAGATGGCTCTGCGGCCCTGCTGCAGCATCACTGACAACAACAACCGCGACTACCCTGCATGCGGCATGCAGAAACCTCTCCACCTCTTTGCACTATGGAAAAAACAGCATTTTCATAGATGTTTTGGTCAGGAAGAGGCTGAGAGGGACAGCACACAAGAACAGTTATCCTGGGTCAGACCCGTGGCTCCCCTAAGCCCAGTAACCTGCCTTCAGAAGGCCAGCCGCAGAAGCTTAAAGAATAGACCAGTTCCAAATGCAGATCTAGATGCTTCCCCTTGTTCAGTCCCCCACCTTCCTGCCATAAATGGGATTTCCTGAACTGAAGGCAGCAGCCAGACTGCCCTTGTGCTTGTCTTCTGAATCTGTCTTGTTCTTTTTGGAATCCATTTACACTTTAGTCTCCACAGTTTCCTGTGGCAATGAATTCCCCAAGTCACTTGTTGGAAAAAGTACTTCCTTTTGTTGGCCTTAAACCTGCTACCCAATAGCTTATATGAATATTTACATGAGGGAGAACAAGTGTGTACACGGGAAGAGAAGTTCACCATAAATAAAGACTGCTAGTGATGGTGAAGACCATCCACTGGATGAACTTTTCTACAGATATTTTCATCCTGCTATTCTGTTTGCTACATCAATATAATGAGCTAACTAAAAGTAGCTCAAGGAAAATAAATTCTAATTCAGTATGAAAGAAACCTGCTCCTTTTTTGCCTCTTTCTCATAAACAGAAGTTTTCCAAGTCTACCGGCTACTGCAAGGATTTCTGTTTAGACTTGAGGCTTAAAGACTGGCTATCTGACTATGCTTCACGCTGCTGACAGACAGGCCAAGCTGTACGAAATGCCATTAAAATGAATATACCTTCCAAAGGCTCCGTACGTGTTCACTATTCTGAGAGGGTTGAATGAGGTGTTCATGACTTGTCTGGAGTTAAGCAGGTTTAGGACAACGGGGACACTGAGATAAGCAATCAGGAGTCCAAACGAGATGTTCACCACTTTGCGGATGTAGCAGCCTGTTCGAGACACAAAACCAAACCGGGAGAAAGTGACTTCACCATTGGCAGTCAGTTCAGAGCTGCTCCCGATTCTCCCCACTTCCCCTGCCCGGTTGATCGCAGCCCCAGCCTCTGCGCGGCTTGACGGGACCCTTCCTGGCGGCGCTAACAGCAGCTTTCAGCTCCCACGTCAGGCTCGGGCTGACAAACGCTCCTATGTAATCAAACAGACCTTGCCAAGGGGCCATACGCTATCGCTCGAGAGATCTGCCTTTCTCTAAATAGTCTGAGAAAGGGCTAAAAAGAAGAATGTCTAAAATGTAAGATTAATCGTTGTTTTAGTATAGGGGGAAGAAACACAGCTGGCACTTGCACCTTGTTCAAAATTGCCCTCCTTGTTTTTAAGCTGCGGGTGGACTGCCTCCAGCTCTTCAGGACGGCTCCCACCGCAGCGGCCTCCTCCCCACCGCCTCGAAGCTCCCGCCACCCAGCTTTGATTTCCTGCATATTCCTGCCTCTCACTCCCTAGCTCTGTTCAAATCTTATTCCTTCCTTTGCAAATCTCGTTCCACTGCTTATCTTTCACGTTTCAGAAATGCGTTACTTCACCAGTGCTTTGGCATTTGGTTTGCAGGAAAGACCCTCTTCTGAACAGAACAGGGCTGTGCTGGATTTAAATGCCATTTCAGCCTAAAGAGAGTCTTATTGCAATCAAACAAATAAGCACAAGTGACCTCTAAAGAGTTCTTGTGCTTATGCCCGTTTTTAATTTGTTTAACATTAACAGCCAAAGGATCAGATTCAAAGCAATTGCATGTAGCTTTCCCCTTATCTCTGCAGGAGAGGGATGTTTATTTGAACCTCTCTCAGAAGCTATTAATAATTGTTTAGTCTGAGAACATTTCTGGAGAATCATTTGATTTGGACAGGAGCTCGTTGAGACACGTCTGCTCGTCCCCTACACCGCTGCAGGACTGCTGTGACCAGGCACAGCAATGCAGGAGTCAGGCAGGGGCATTTTTCATCTTTCAGATGCGCAGAACTTTCTAGCCAAGAGTAAAGAGCAGCTACGGACACAAAGCGCCGCGCGACAGAGGCAGCGTCAGCAGCTCCGGAGGCCACGCTGCTCGTGGCCATGTGTGGACGACCCATCTTTTAACTCTCCCAGTGAGCGTGATCCTAGCCTCAGGATCCAGGGGCTCTGGCCCATGAAGTGTCAGCACCTTCTTGGTCCTGACATGCCTGCTGTGCTGTGGTGATCATAATCTTGCCTTTGGGTCACAGCCACTCAGTCACAGAATAAAGAGTTTAGTCCAGGAAAAAAAAACCAACGTGGCAAAGAACAGAGCAAGACTTAGAGAAGGAGCATAGGATATAAGGTAATGGGATCTGGATCAAGCTTCTAGATACCAACAGAAAGGGTCTCTCATCTTCCGAGAGATTTAGGAACTGAGCACTAGGCAATGGGGAGTAGCGGTCTCAGTAGGAGTGACACACACGTACTTCAAGGATGTGGCCAGATCCTTGTAAAATCTGGTTGTGAGTGGGGCTGACAGAAAACCCTTGTGTCCCCTGTCCCTGTCACTCGGGGCAAGTGTCCCTTTAAGCCTTCTGCCACACAGCCCTTCAGCACCTGCTCTGTTAGCATATCCAGAAACCCAAATTCATCCAGAATAGACAGATACCCTACCCCTTACTTCTAGATCCCCCTTAAAAAAAACCCAGAACAGGGACACCTCTAAACTCCAGAAGTGTGGTGAGTGTGGACGGCTCTCCTCAGTCAGGGGTACTCCTGGCTCACTATGGTTTTCTGGAGAGCACCACAGAAGAGGAAAAAATTCCTCACCAAAGGATCTATCTCCCAGTCAAGGCAGCTCATCGAGCGGCACAGCAGAGCAGCACGCCTTGGCTTCTGCCCCAATGAGTAGATGCAACTTGAGCATTGTCTGGGACTGGATGCAAAAATACAGTTGGAAGGAAAACTCCAGACGCTCACAGCCTCTAAAGCAAAGGTACCTGAACTGAAAAGCTGCTAAAGATTTCTCCTTTCAGCAAAATATGTAAGATAGGACACACAGAAAGTTTAATGGCACTGCATTAGCTGTGCTGGAATTAACACTTCTGGTGAAAAGACTGTATTTCTTGGTACATGAGAAAGAACTAGAGACAGATGAGTATTTTGTTGACATTTTTCACTATTCTGACAGATGTGTATATTTAAAAACGAGCATCTGTAATTGTTGTTGATATTATAGTCAATTTGTTGCCTAAATGTGGTTTATAAAAATATTACAAACACAACTGTACATCTGTTACGCAGCCCTATGAAAAACAGACCAACGTTCCTTGCGCAGGCAATCTTTGCAAACAGGACTGCTTGCAGAAATCACTTCAGAGGGGTATGTTAGCCACAATAATTCCTTCTGTTAACTTAAAAAAGCTCTGTATTTGCTTTTCCATATGCATAATATGAATATATGAGTTTGTCTCATCCCCATTTTCAGGGAACTCCCTCCACAAGGTCACCGTGCCCATGCTGCCAGCAGTGGCAAGGAGAGCCCGACGCCACGGCTCTGGGCAGCTGCTCCTCTTGCCTTCTCCAAGCGGCCACTGAATGGAGAAAGGCCATTTTCCCAGGAGCTGGGTCTCAGTAAAAGCATTACTGGAGCCACAGCAGATCAACAATCCATTTTGTTCTTCTGGAAGTTTGGCCTCATGTCCAGCTACTTATTCAACCGGGGAAGCAACGTGCCAGCAGTTGGAGGATGACAGTGCCACAGGGGAAAGAGGGGCTGAGAGTGAACAAACACAAGAGCTGCTTCATTCACCTTCTAAAATGAAATCTTTGCCCCAAGCCGCACTGGGTGTTTCATTCCTGACTTTTAAATAGTCCAAAAAAAAAAAATTGCAAGATAAATTGAGATAAATTGTGCAGTTCCACATTGCTTATTTAGCGCTAGAGTTTGACACTCACTGCAGCGAATGTAATGAATACTAACTCTCATGAGCAAAGATATCAGAATTTTAGCTGCGGAGACTTACCCATTCCAAAATAAATATACCTGTACTAACAACGTGCCCTCTAGTGGCAACAACGTGACAGACGTTTATAAATTAGCTACTGTTTTTGAGCTAATCTGTCGTCAATGCAAGAGCCAGACAACCTTCAAACCACAGAGAAGGACCACGCAGGGGCACAGTTATCTCCCTTCCCATACAGGTTTGCTCCAAAAGGAGAAGATGACAGTCTTCTAGACAAACATGCTGAATACACCTGTCTGCCACTTTTTTCCTTCCAGCAATAACTCACCGTATCTCAGAGGAAGCTGCTCTCCGGCTGCCTGCTTGACTTGCATCTGCACCAGCTGGTCTTTCACACCTCCTTGCCTGGAACTGAAGAGGAAGGCCAAGCTGGCGTCATCAAAGCAAGCAATGCTGGGTACGATGGTTAGCCAGTTGAGGAAGCTCAGGTTTCCACTTATAATCAGAAGCACCTAGGCAGGAAAGAGCGAAGCACAGGGGATTGCAGGTGCCAGCAGATGTCTGGCTAGCTCTCCAGGCACTGCTATCTGGGAGCGTTTATCTGTAAATTCCACCTGCACACTAGTTTACTCTCTGAAAACAAGTGTTGCTTAGAGCAAGAATTCCTGCCGCAATAACTGGTTTGGAGACAAAGGAAATGAGAGTGTGCAAATGCGGTGGCCAGCTGCTCTGTGGTCACCGTGGTCATCCACTGCACAGACCTCAAATCAGCAGCCTCGGGCTGCTTCTGGCCATCAGTGGCTCAGAAGAGACTCCACAACCCCTGGGCCAAAGGGGCTCCCACCTCCGTGAGCTTTGTTAAATGCTCAGTGAAGTCCCATTAAAAATGGCTTTGGAAAAACCCGCATATGACTATTTACACTTGAGTGCTCCTGCACTGCCAGGCTGGCATCTCTTCAACCCTCCTCCTGAGCGCTGTGTCTTCGGAGACACAAAAGGTATCTGGCAGAGAGAACTCAGTCTCCTGCTAACCCTGGCATACCCTGAAAGCAGCACCTAGCAGGGAGTCAGTCCTAGGTCCTTCGAGCCCGGGACTAAGACTGAAAAAACAAGCAACGTCTGAAAAATAAGCAACGTCAGATCTGCAACTACAGCCTCTGCTACAGCTCCCTGAATCACCATCGCTTTTGTGCCAGCAGCACAAAAGGGTTCTTGACAATGCTGAGCCCTGCTGAAGAAGATCCCATTCCTTCTGCCCTTGCAGATCAGCCAGAAATTCGCCTCCGGGACCCTCTGCCCCAGTGCCCAGGCAGTTAACCTGGCTAACAGCACTGTCTCACATACTTTGCAGATTTTCCTCTTATTCATGATTGCAACACTGAGGGCAAACCTTTCCCCCTCAGCCCAGGATACCGGCCCAAATGTACCCTGCTGACTCGCAGTCTGAGCAATGCCATTGCTTTCACCAGGAAAAAGATCAGCCAAAGTATAGTGTGACTTGATTTCCATAGCGCTCCCCGGGACCGCGCGCTGGTTTGGCTCCCAGGGAACCGGCCGCTTCCTGATTATACCTACGTATCTATGAAATCAAAGTTTCTGAAACCCTTCAAGAGGAAATATTGGAACTTCTAATTAAAGAGCAGCTGTTAAATATAGCAGTGGGGTTTTTTAAGAGTTTTTTTTTTTATTTTAGTTCTTACTTCCCACTTGTTAGAATGTGTCACACGTGTAAGGCAGATAATGTGGAAAAATCTGCCAGCCTTTGGAAGAGTCTCCATAAATATTTGTACATATTGGGAAAGGGCGTTTTGGGCATGGATAATTTTCTCTTATTATTGCAATGACTTGACAAATGCAAGGTACCTTCCTGCACCCCGGTTTTCCAGCAAGTCTTAATGAGCATAAAGCAGTCATGTCTGGGCATGGCCCCTTTAGCCTTAGTCATGAATCACATCTTCACAGCACATGGGTCTATTTTAGAGCTTTCCCCAATGTTATATGATGTCACTTGCTGTTTCAGAGGCTGGTTGCAGGGAAGATGCAGCTACTCCTCTGCTCAAGGCAAGCTATAAACCCCTCGCCCGAGCCTCTCATTAGAGCTTCATATAAAACTGAATGCACAGAAAAAACTCTCCTTCCTTATTAGCATTGCTTCTATTTCCAAGGCCAGGCTTCGTCCTGCTGCAAGGGCGCGATGTCCCCGGAGCCGCACAGGCGGGCAAAGGAGGGGGAACATGACGTGGGACCTGCACGAGCTCCCGGTGGACCCTCCCGGCTCACTGGAGAGGACTAAATGGCCAAGGAGCTGCACTGCTGCCGTGGCGGTGTGGCTTTATCCCAGCTCCCGCTGGTGCAGATGTGCTGGCACTGCCTCCGGCAGCCGCGGGCAGCTCACCCCCACGACTGACACGGTCGCGCAGGACTGGGCTCATGGAGGCGCGTGTGAGCTCCAGCCAGGGACGGGAGCCTGGCCTCACTGATCCCCTTGCACAGGCTCATCAGGTGCTGTCCTAAAATGCCCATGGTTTTGCCTCCAATCTTCCCGCTTGGAGACTCTCCCAGAGCCTCGATTCTCCAGGCGGCTGGGAACATTCTTCTGTTTTTCTAGGCTAAATTTATTCATACTCAGCCTCTACTTACTCGGGTTTTTGTGCTTGCCATTTTCTTTTACCTGTTCACAGTCACCCTTGCTTTCACTGTACAATTAAAACTCTTCTCAGCCTTTCTGCTGCTCTGAGCTAAGCAAGCCAAACTGTCCTGGTCTCCTCTTACCGGAGACTTTGCTGTGTGATTATCACAGCCGCTATTCCCTGAATTTCAGTAAATTTCAGTACATCTTTCTGGGTGCTGACAAGAATTGCAGGGAGTACATCAGAAGGGTCTCACCAGGAGCTTGCACCACGGTTGCTAACGTTTCTCTTTCTTAACCAGAACTGCCCTCCTGCTGTGCCCTAACTCTGCATTTTTCTTTTCCACTGGGGCGTCACCTCAGTGCTCGTTAGTCACCTGGGGGCAACTCGAGTCCCTCTATGCATAAGTGGTTTCTGAATAGCGGGCTCCCAGCATGGAGCAGGCGTTTCCATTCCCAACACTGGACGTGGGACCCCGCTCCTCGGACATCAGCATTTCACCCCGTCCGGCCCGCGGCTGACACCGCAGAAGATGCTCAAAATTGCCTGACTCAAAAATTCACTGCTTTGCTTTCATGCACAAAGCATGTGCTTTTTAACCTAATGTGGCCAAAGTAGCTAATTGTTCCATGTTTCGTATGAGCGGGGCCTGCTGCCAATCCAACCTTGCTGACACCACGACTTGCACCAGATGCAGAATGGACATTACGAACTTGCTTAAATGCCAGCAAAACAACATGTCAGACGGAGCCAAACCCAACACTGTTGCCATGAAGACACATCTGGGTTTTCGGAGGACTGCTTGCCTCGCTGAACTGTCTAGCCATCGCAGTGTTCAAAAAGCAACATGTTATAAGTGATTTAGCATGTTGGCATAAAATAATATATAGGAATCCATCAAAAAAAAAAAAAAAGACAAGAAAAGAAAAGCAGCTGATGCCTGTTCGGGATTATTTGAGACTGATACGAATACTTGTCCCGTTAGTCATATTCCTTAGGATTTAGCCCTAGTAGTTATGCTAATTAACTAGCTGTTCCTTGGACATATTAAAACAAAAAAAGAGGAAAAAAGAAAAGGAAACAAAGTAGTCTCACGATCTTGCCCATGAAAAACGAGATTATAAAGCTGACTTAATATATTACACGTTGAAAAATAATGCCCTGATGTAACAAAGTCATTTATTTTTCAGACTTGAGGCCAGCTAATGAGAATTTCCCCCCCATTCCAGCTGGGTTCAAAGTTGTAACCTTGTATGGTACCACTATTATTTTTTTTAGAGAACACTTCACTATTCACACAGCTGAACTTTTTATCTTCCTGTGAACTGTTTACTCACAATTTTTAGCGCGTGTAGTCAAAGAACACTTTTAAGACCCCAAAAAGCCAAAACGCACTAAAGCACGCTGCCCCAGCATCTCACCCACAGGAGAAGGAGTCGAGGCAGCCCGAATCGCCTTCCTCTCCAATCACCTTCACAGTCCCCGTCCCGCAGGCCCTCAGCCCGCCTCCCCCTCTGGGGCGCTGAAAGTGCTACAAAGCTTTTGGAAACCATGTGCAATATGATGAGAGGAAGAGGCTCAAGGACCGATCGCGGACTCAGCTGCCACCACTGATGATCACAGCTGCTCCTCGGGCTGTGCTGAACCCGAGGACAGCTGTTCTAGAAGGGAAACACAGCCCTTCCATGGGCAGACTCAAGTCAAATGCAACAAAATTCCTGGGCAGCCCGAGACCATCACAAACTTTCTACTCCACCTGCAGAGCCCATCCTTGAGTCTGCCCTCTCTAATGCATACAAAAAACCCTGCAATGAACATCAAAAAACTATGTCCCAAGCAAAGAGAAAATCCCACCAAACTCTTGCAGGTGCTTGTCCTCTGGTGAAGAGAATGAGAGCTCAAGCAGGTGCTGACCCCACCACGTAATGCACCCCAAACCTGCACAGAGCCACCAGGCAGAGCACAGTGTAATTTGCTATAGCACGAGAGCAGGTCTTTGGCTACATACTCGAATGTCTAGGACCACCGCAATATATTTTCTTTATATATTCTTTCACACTAGCCTTTGCTTTGCGTGAGGGACAAGACCTGTTCCAGGGCTTGCTCAAGAGCACAGCTTCCAAAGAACGTGCCAATCGTACACGTAATTTCCTGGTGGGGACAACGAAATGAGACCACCACTTTATGTCAGAAGAAGGCTAGTCTAGTTGCTTCTGAGGGCTTTTGGGCATTACCTGGAGGTTTGTTATTAGGATGTCATACTCATGTAACATGAGGAGGCTCCACCAGTAACAGGGACCAGCTTAGCTTGGGCTTGCTAAAACAGACTGTAAGAGGTCAGTTCCTGTCCTGAAGAAACCAAATCTAACCATACACGACAAAGCACCACAAAAATTGGGATTTACTATGCCTGTGTTACAGGCAGAGAACGGAAGAATTTTGGCACCTAAATCTTATTTCAAAGACGCTCCCTGGGGATATTGCCTTAAGGACACTTACTCAAGATCTGTCTTGCATGGCTCTTACATGGAGTCTTGCAGGAGAGCCAGAAATAGGACCCAAATTTTCCAGCTACAAATCCAATGTCTTAATTATGTCCCCCCTCTCCAGGAATATGTGCCTGCCCAAATGCTAGTCCCCAGAGTTTTCCTCTGGTTTATCCTGAAGTGCACTCCTCCAGTGTACCTTTGGCTTCCTATAAAAAGTCTCATTTTTCTATGTTTGGTCTCCTGTTGGGCCCGACTCTCTAGAGTAAAAGGTGGGCTCCCATATAATTTTGGTCTGAGGACTTCCAACCAGCGTTCAATTAAAAAGGACATATGCTTTCTCATTAAAAAACAACAACAAATAAATGTTAAAAGAATATCATTTGTTTGCCTCTG